ATCAATGTATGCTAGATATGGTGCTAACGTAGAAAATTCTGATCGGGGTTTTTTGATATTTTACTGGCTCATTTGTTATCTTCAAAATTTGTATTTTACCTGTTTTATTTTAGAGTTTCGTGTCTAATTTTAGTTTTGAATGTTGGCGCCGTTCGGTAACGCAGAGAGAAAGAAAGAGAGAGAGCGCGCACCTGTTACCAGTATATATACTACTGGTACTGGTAGTATTGAATGGCCTTGGGTCTCGTCGGTAATTGAGATGTCAGTGTGCCATATTGACTCGAGTTCTTGATTATTGAGTGAGTTATATATACTACTGTTGCTGTCGAGAGAGGATGCCGTGGTAGGGGGACGTACAGGAACGAAACGAGCAAGAAAAAGTGTGACGCTTTCCCCTATTTTCGTTAAGTGAGGGCTGTACATAAGAAGCTCCGCTTGAAAAATTGATGAGCATCATACAAACCTTGCAGAACAATTGAATAGTTTTTTTTCTGTCATAATACCTTTGCTTATCTAGCCTAGCGGGAGCTCGAATCCCTATATGAAATCCATCTACGGCACCTATAAATTTTTTTATTCCAGCGATTTGTTTGAATTCAGGATTCAGGGCCTATTTCTCTTCACTTTGCTTGTCTTTGACGCCAACAGATAGCATTTTGGCACACGTCATATAATATACCAGTCATGACTCTTCTAGTACATTTTACAACGGTAGACTTGGAAACCATAAATATTCTTGCAATTTTCCTGTAGCTATCTGGAATAGCTAAGACCCCAATAGCGATGAGTAGACCTATTTCAGAGTTATCTGGTAGTTTTCCTCTTCCCGCATACTAAAAGGCCAGAGAGGTAATTAATTTTTCATGTAATATTTGAAAGTGAATTTTTGGCACGCTTGAGTCTTGAAAAAATTGTTTATCAGACGTTAATCTTGAAAAATTGACTGCTTGATCATTACAAAATCCTTCCCAAGGTGCGAACTAAATTTTTCTTTCTGAAACTGCAAAGGTGTACTTTCCGCCTGTGACTCACTTTGCCGCCTGTGAGCGCAAAGTGAGCCAGCAAGGTGCAATAGCTTTGCACCCACGGTAAGAATGGTAGTTTTCGTACTTGGTAGCGCATGTCGCCAGAGTAAACACCAGGCCCGAGGGACTCCTTGTGCTGGTCCTGATAGGATGCGTATCAGGCGGGAACCCTATTTTTCCTAGCGAGGGCACATCCGACCCTAAAAAATTCCCAAGGTAGGATGAATACAAAATTTCCTTACTTTAGGTGTTTGTAGGTGGATTTTTCGTGCGTCCTCATAAGGGAGAATAGAGTTTGCACCTGGTGTACATCCAACCATCAGTGCAAGCGTAAGAAGTCCCTCGGGCAATGGGTGCAAAGTGAGTCAAGTCGTTTTATTTGCGCCTTAGGAGAAAAAAATTATTCGCAACTCAGGCGCAAACTTACACTAACTGCACCCTTTAGGCTTTGAAGTTACATTTTGCGTCAATGGTACGGAGACTACTATATTAGTGTATCAATTAAACTAGTTATGACAATCGGTAAATACTTACTTTTAAATTTTAATTTAACATTCCAAAGTACTGGTTTCACAATGTGTGGGCAACATAAGGTTATTATTATTAATAAGTAACAGTCCAAAAAACAGCACAGCCACACACAACAACATTATTTCAAATATTATATGTAAATTTCTTTTGTTTTTTGTATCTATTTTAAACAGAAACTAGATTTTTTATTTATGCTGCTTTCGAAATCATTGCACAAAAAAATTTCTTTACAGAAATCAAATAAGTTTTGTCGATCAAAATAAAGTTATACTATCTACAGATTAGGTTGTTAATTTTAAGGCAGATATCTTTTAGAACCGAACAGAACAAAAATGAAGCGATTGGAAGGAAAAAACCTAACGAACCGAATAATAAATACGAATAACGAAATTTCGTTATCAAGGTCTCTGACGCACGCTTCAGGTGCATTTGGCAATCAGCTAGGCGCGTTTTGCTAGCAGCCTTACGGTACCGGATTTAAAATAATATCTTGTTTTTATCAGTCTCCCTGATTACCTTGCAAAGCAATGAGACAGGCTATGTAAGGCTGTGGACTGTGGACTGATGTACTATGTATAGAAGTTATTATTGAGGTGTATCCACTTAAAAAATTTTGTTAATCGAAAAACCTTGGTACTTATTTAAATTTTGAAAGCCAGTCTTCAACGAATACCATCCCTCAGCGCTTCGTACACCCCTAAAGGACCTATTTCCTAGCCTTACAAGCATGCCAAAATGCCTCCACAATCTGATTTGGATGAGACAAATACCACTTGGTAGATCATAAAAAAAGCTTATTTTACTTAAAAGTTATAGAGACCTTACCTATAAATTATATCTTTGATGTTAGATTTGTTGTTGTTTGATTTTTTAAAATGATTCAGCAAGTTTTTACTGTTACATATATATAAAATTAGATTCTTTAGATTTTTGAAATACTGACTAGAACCTTAAAATTCTTAAAAAATTTAAAAATTCTAGAAAAAAGTCGGGATTAATTTCATTTAGAACCTATAACTATATTGTCGCGTATATATGGCTTTTTTTTGTAAAGCACGTGTATTACCCGTATATATAGCTACATATAAAAGTGTACGTGCACATTTATAATAAAAAATAATATATNTCGAAAAGTCTCCTTTACGAACCTCGTTACGTCCCTCGCCTTCGGCTCGGGCCGCAAACCTCTCGGTTCGCAAACAGAGACTTTTCAAACTCGTAGGAAAACTACCATTATACATTTTGTATATATAACTCTTAAAATGGTACATTACGTCACTAGGGCACAAAGTACAAACATGAGCGCCCGAAGGGCGCGCTTGTTGTAGGTTGGTGCCCGAGTCACGTATACTGTTTTTCTGACACTTTGCGCCCAGTAAATCACTTTGAGCCCTAGGGCAGAAAAGTACTTTCGGCCCGGAGGGCGCAAAAAACTTTTCTGCCCGTGGGCCTAAAGTGATTACAAGGGCGCAAAGTGTGACCTGAGGGCGCAAAGCGGCAGTTTCACTTTGGGCCCATGGTAAGAAATAGTAGTTTTCGTCAGATAAGTGCCATCGTCTCCGGGGCTATTTTGCGGCCCAAGGGACCTGCGAAGCAGGGCCCGAGGGACGTAAGGTAGCCACGGAGCGATGGTGCTCATGTGGCGAATGCTATTTTTCCTACCGAGGGCACACCAGCCTTTCAAAAACGCCCGAGGTAGGAAAATTTTTTTTTCTGAAATCCTTATAAATGGTGAAACGCAGAGAAAAACAATAAGAACCAATTTTTTAGACCTTTTTTGTACGCTAGGCACAAAAAAACGTTTATTAAAAATTTTTCTTTAAACTTATTTCTACTAAAGATAGTACTCAAGTTTTTTGAGGTTCATGAAAAGGTCGTGCTTCAATATAATTATTTTCGATAATATTTTAATCAAAAATTTTTTTTATATCATACGTTCCACCTCTTGATGAATATAAAATAAAACTCTGATTACTGTCTGCGGTAGTAAGAAAATTGAGTAAAAATTTGTAACTAACAGTTTCTTGCCTAGCCTACAAAAAATAACTAAGAACGGCGAAAAAATCTTCTTTTATTATTTTTTATTCCATTCCACTATTTATGAGGATTTGTAAATTTTTTTAAAAACAGATGTACACAAAAACACTTCATGTTTTTTCCCTAAATTAAATGTGTCCTGAAATGTCTAGGAAAAATCCTAGAATTTTTTAAAATTTGTAATACATTTTTTGAGGATGTGTTCGGTACAACAAATCTGAAAATTTTTTAGTGTGAATGTACTAATTATCTTCAGCTTCCAAATTTTTTTAATCAATTTAAATAGAAACTTGTTGAGTTATTCCAGATAAACCAAGTAACACTAAATCTAACCTCGAAGCTACAATTTTTAGGTTAGCAATCTGTAAATTTCAGGAAAAATGTACTTTTCTATGATCTGCTAAGTGATCTTTGTTGTTGTTTGGGGCCTTTTTTGGCACGCTTAATAAGCCAGTCCCTTTCAATACATGAAAGGTGAGGGTTTGCCGTCGTTTGTCGTCTTAGTAATACTCTTTTGGAACTCTCTGTCGGTAAAGATTCTGCCGGTTAAAAATAGCTCTTACAAGTTTTTTCTTAAGCCGTCATTTGGCTAATAGGCTCACAAAACATAGGATGAAAGGCACCTTAACAAAGCAATTTTTCTAACGAAAAAAAGGAAAAAAAAAAGATAATGTAACTGCTTCTACTGATCAAAAGTTAAGAGATTATATAGTGTTCAAGCGTCTCTTAAATTTATGACATCTTTACATTTGTTTATCTTATCTTATCAGTTATTGTAAGAACGAGCTTGCACAGATTACTATTACGGACTGCGTATCTTGGATTATGAGGTTGTTACATTTAAAATGGCGATAATGTGTAAAACTTAGCGTTGATTCAAATTGTAATTCTTTTGTGTTCTGCGTAATCGGTTCAACTGTATTTTTGATGTTTTTTGTTTTACTGTAAATTATACAATTTTTGTTTTTTTTCTCTTAAATTTTTAAAACTTTGCTGTCATGACGAAGTTGATGCTAGCTGGAAATGAAGTCTTTGATATAATAAATCATGATTTAAATCAAAATCTTTCTCTCCATTTTACTCTTTGACAAAAATCCTTTCACTTCACTACGACCGATGCTACCGAGTCTTCTCCAGTTCATAGAAAAATATTTTTTTTTTTACTATATGATTAACAAATGAATAAAACGACAAATTGATAAGATGGTAAGTCAATGTAAGAGCTCAAAGTCATAAATTATTAAAATTTTTTTTTTCTCAAAATATAAGTTATATGAGCAAAGCCAACAGATCATACTGTGGTTACAAATTATAAATGATATAGTAATGGATAATAATCAAGTAATTACTAAATAACAAAAAAATTTCGAAAAATTTCTACAGTTGTTGTAATATGTACAAATTTTCAATAAATTTTATCTAATCCAAGAGATGATGTCTATTAATAACCAAATTTTTCATTCAATATAGTTTTTCCATCTCCAGTCTGATTAAGCGGAGGAACCCACACATTGTAATCTTCTATAAAATCATCTTCAATAGATCTTCTGTCTACATTTTTTGCAATACCTTTTAATGCTTGCTGATACTGTGCAGTATTGTTCTTTCTTACGGTATTTTTTATCAATTTTTTATCGGTGTTATGTACTATCTTATCTTGAACATCCTTTAGAGTCTCATGTATTAAATTTTTATTTTTGTTCTCTTGAAAATTTTTTGATTTTGTATTTTCTGTTATTAAGTTTAGATTTTTACTACTATTTCCTAGTTTGCATACAGAGTCTAATTCCTGAAAAAATATTTAATAGGTTATATTTTTTTTAACAATGATTTCTTTTTAAAAAAAATAGGTGACAACTATGTTGACCATAGTAATAATGATGGTGAAAAATAGGATCATAATCGTGATGATAATTGTATTGCGTTTAATTATCTCACTAATTTATATTCTTCTAATGATTTTCTTGTTTTAACGCAAAGATGTTTTACATCTATGTAAATAACCTCACTGTAATTATGTTATTTTAGTATAAAAAATCGTTTCGAAATAACATTTTCACTAAAATTATTAAATAGTCACACATTATTCAACGCAATAATACAATATATTTAGTGTAGCTGGGCATTCTTATTAGACTAAACTGAACTTGACTCAAAAATAACAGTTTTTGTTTTTTGTTCAGAAGATTTTTAATATTTAAAAAAATTTAAGATAAGATCAAGTCAAGACTGCAATTTTTATAATTTTGCAAGACAAAACAAGACCAAAACTTCAAACTGTCTCATCTTAATCTGAAAAAATTATTGATTTTTTTAACGAGTGAAACTATTAGAAGTATTTAGTTCAGTTTTAATTTTAAAGTTATATCAAATACATGTATATATTATTAACTTCCTTATTCATTTGATGTTTTGTAATGTGGAGATTCACCGCTACTTCAAGTATTTTGATTCAAGACCCTCATTAAAACATAGAGATAATACCTAAGCATACGTTAATATAACTAAATACCAAATCGAGAAAATTGAACGGGAAACATAAATTATCATTTCTCGTCATAAGAAAACCGTCTTTAAACATTTGTATTCATCGAGAGGGCTTTAAAAATAATGGTATACTGTCCTTTCTTACATTGCTTTTTAATCTTCCATCCCTAAACATTATCCTAGGAACACCTATACATACTGACACTAACATACTCCTGTAGACTGGACGCTCGTGACCGTTAGTGGAAACTGGATGCCACTCGCGACCTTGCGCTGGTACAGGAAGGCCCAGGTATCTCTATCTCTGATTAAACTGTATGTCGAGAACAACAAGCTGATAAATTTATGTAAAACACTATGTCTTGCATGTAAGGCACGACCAATCTACAAAGTGCCAGAGCAAAAAGTGTTATTTGAAAAACAGAATTCAATTTTTATATTACTCCGTTATCATATCCAACTGAGTATTAGTATTAGTATGCTAACTTTGAATTTAAACTAACAAACGATTTTTCAGCCATTTTAAAACGTTTTTCGATATTAAGTGTCTTTATAACAACACTATAAGTGATATTGGTCAGTACAAAAAGAGTATTTTTAGAATATCTACAATTTTCGTATTAAACATTTTAATTAAAAATGTGATGTTTAAAAATTAGATGGTGTAAAACGATTTTAAATTTTAAATCGTTAAGACGACACTTTCGAAAAAACTTACTGTCCAAAAAAGTTTGATTTCGATGAGCTGTAAAATTTTTGTATTTAGCGTTTTGTTTTAGAAATATGGAATTTATTTTTGTAACAAAGCAAAAAACGTTTTTTCTGCTGTTTTTGCATATATTTTGCTTTATAGAGCGTCTGCATTGCGATCGAGAGGAAAGTGTATAGTATAAAAAAGTTGTATTTCAACGAGATCTACAACTCTGCCTTTGAACGCGAACGTGCGAAAAGTATGTAAAAAACTTATCCCTGAAAAACTGTTGTTTTTTTTTGTCTCAGAGCGCTGCACTAAAAATGCTGTCTAAATTTTTCCTTTCAATGAAATTTGTCCAATTGTAAATCATCAGCTTTGACATCCAACCCGATGTTACGAACAAAATTTCAGACCATTTGAATCATAATAACTGGAGTTAGTCGAAAAACTTGATGACGTAGACACGTGTTTCCACTCAAACACTATGTAGCCAACTCAGATCACCCTCCTACAAGGTTTAAAACTTATTTTATGCTAAAAATAGACGATTTATACATAGTTTCACTTTTTGCTCTGATAAAATTATAAGGCACTCCCATACATTGGTCGTGCTTTAAAATATGAGGCAAATTTTTGAAATAAGGAATGTGTCTATTAAAGTATTCGATATGAATGGCACTTTTAGTGATTACCAGCGGGTACTATCTTTTAGTCCGACGGCACCCTCAGACATTGAGGGTCGCAACGGCTGCCTCCATGGACAGAGGGATCCAGATTGGTCGGTACTGAACCTATTGAGGCTTCTGACACTAAGTTAGAAAAGTAAACCTGACCGTTGTCTCGAAAGAGGATGTAATATTAGCTGCCAATACACACATTGTATCAGTCCTTTGTGACCTATGCCAAAAACACAGCAACACAGCGATGGAAATTAAAGACAACGTCAAGGTTGCAGAATTCATGGTAGAGGGGCTATCACTCTTTAGAAGAGCAACAAAAGAAAAGGCTGCGATCGAAACCAAGAAAAAAAAGAAGAGGAAGTGGGGCACTGAGTAACATACCTCAAGCCTTAAAAACATGGAAAAAAGTCTTGTAATAGAGTAAAAAAGGGTCCAACTCCTACACAAACTTGAAAAGATAAAATAGAAAGGAAAGAAAAACAGCATAAAAATAGATTGATGTTAAAAATAAAAAGGGAAAAAGCACTAAGCAACCCTGATCTTTATGAAGAACAAAGTTAACGTGAGCCGACTGGGAGAAAAGGTAAGGGTACCTTCTTCACCTTAGATGAGCCACTATAATATCCCCACAGAATAACTAAAATGCCCCCAAGAAATCGCTGCCCACAATCCCTGGAGCCACTACCCACGAACCCGCAGCTACGACTTGATTCACTCGAGGAGGGCAGGAAGTGCGTCTCGCATCATGTTACCGTTAGCCACGTGTCAAGTAGCCACTAAAACCCGATCCCAGCTCGGGATTAATGGCTCAAGAAGCCAGTAATCCAAAATGAGAGGCACGAGAACATGTCACTCTTACAGTCTTATGCATCTTGCAAACACTACAGCTACTGGATAAACATTTTAACCGTACCCATGGTTGTTTTCACGGCCTTCTGATTTCTTGGGACTCCTGGTCCTGGATGTTGGCTTGGGCCAACACAGACACCCAACCACACACAGCTAGCCAAGACCTGAAGCTCCTTTGTCGGTCAACGAGACCCTCCAAAAAAACTCAGATAGTCGCAAGCTTTGCAACAAGCTTTTAACGACACGTTGAGTTTTCTGATCACGTTAGCTACGGAAAAATTCAAAGCCACACAAAGGGAGAAACTCAACTCTACAACTCGAGGTCAGCTACATTTTGCTCGCTCTATACCTCGGAATAATCCTTACCAACAATCCTTGATCGATCGTCTACTGTCGATCAACAATTTCTGATTGGCTAATTACGCACCAGCGCTCTTTCTTATTTATTCAATTAGCCCTTGGCATATTAATTTAACCGACAAACCGGGTTGGGCTTTAGGCACTTGCAGGAAACTGTAAGTGCACAATCAAGATTGGGGCATGTTGAAGGTGCGGTAAAAATGGTTATCATGCCAGGAGCTGCGCTACAAAAGAGTTCAGGTGCTACTTATACCGAGAGATGACCCCAACGCCTAATTGCCACCATGTGCAGCCCTCGGGGTGGCTGAAGAAGGCAATCAGAAGTCCTGGCTCTCGCAGATACTGCTGGACCAGCACTTTCTCGACTGGGGAGCGGTGCTGCTAATGATAAGTGAGCAGTAAATGTGACCGTCCGGGGACATGCTGGTACGGCGACCTCACGGGTGCAGCAGCTATCATAGTCTGCGACAAGGATAAGTTCCCAGTAGCCGATTCTGGGGCCGGGAGCGATTTCGTGTAAATGAAGAGGGGCTATGTTACCTTCGTAAGTTGCTACATGTCCTCGAACATAACAATCGGCGCTTTTCAGACGCGGCTCGCTGCTCTGTGTGTGTATTTAGGGAAAGGGATGACGGGGTCATTGCTGGCAACCAAATTTCCAAGGCCACCTCTTGGGGTAAAACACACACCAATACTAAGGGGTGGGCGGAGTTGGAGATGGCCTAAAGCTTTAACCTCACTGTGATGAACTGTAGTAATAAGGCGACGTTTGAACAAATAGAAATCAAGGGCTCGATAGTCGTTACAACGCTCGCAAAGACAGGCATGGTAACGTGGATGTCTGCCTGAAGAGTTTTGTCGGACTATTCAGCAAGTGTTCACCAGGTCATTTCATTCGAACTTGGTGAGTTGTACGATGCTGTGCCGTTGAAAGCACTTCGTGTATGGGCCGTTAGGTGTAATAATGCATAACTTAACAAAGAAGCGCTTCGCAAAGTCCTGGCCGATGCACCACCTCTGTCTAGCCAAAACATAATCTCAGGTGCAGCGACGACAGCGCAACTCATAGCGTCTATCATGCAATGCATCGAGGAATGGTGTGACTATGCCTCGGAAATCGGCCTGGTCAAGTTGGAAACCACCCGATCGGAGACCTAACTGGGATATCCCACTAGTTAGGTAGGTCCTAGATGGGCTGCCGAGGTAGGACCTACCTATAAATTTTAACGGGGCTCTAGTGAGGCGTTACCTAGGCCCAAGGTTCCTATCTTCTACCTTACCTAACGTTTTCTGACATTTTGAAAACTGATGGGAACGTGACTGCGTATTTCGGAGCACTGTATGTGTGTGTGTTTGTGAAAACTTTACCTTTTGCATGTAAAGACTGCCCTCCTGGACCATTGGCTACACATCATTAAATGATTGATGACAAAAAAAACTTATAAAAACATATACTGTATATACTGTGCAAATATCAAATCCTGAAAGACAGATATACAATAAAGTGCATTATACAATACTTCATGTGTACAAGAAAGATTAATGATATCTAAAACTACAGCAACAGATTCAGCAGAGTAAAAATACAAGAAAAACATTGATTAATTTCAGAATTCGTGTTTTTATTACGTGTGCGCCTATTATTTATTAAATAAAAAATATTTGAATGTATTTCAACTTTTTTTTCTTATTTTGGAATAAGAGCTTGTTTGCATTAAA